TGATTAAAGTTGAATTAGCTTGGATCCTGGGTAAAGCATATGTGCCTTGCTGTCTAGAGCACCTCAACTGTCCAACATTATTGCCTTGGGGTATCCAAATAGGGGGGTGTTCTTTTAGGAGTGGATAGATCTCTTTAGGGTGAAATCTGCAAAAACAGAGGGAGAAATTTCATGTGAACTAAGAACATATGGTAGATGGTAACTTGGATATACTGAAGTGCCAGCATAAATGATATAGGTAATTCAGAAAAGGTTCACCTGAGACATTTTAATCTGAGGTCTGTTAGTTTGAATGGGTAGGCACCTGGACCCTTCAATGAAACAGCTAACACATTTTTCAGTATTTTTACATAACATTGTGTGACATTATTATTTGGGGTGGGTAACTTTTAATTTTGATATAATTTCAAACATAGAGAAAATTATAAGAACAGTACAAAGAATTCTCAAAGAGTATCCTTTACCCAGGTTCACTAATTGTTACTGGTTTGCTCCATTTACTTACTTTATCATTCATTCGCTCATTCTCCCCACACTCATGCACACACACTTTTTTCTGTTGAACTGTGTGCAAGTGAGTTGCATGCACTGTGTCCCTTTACTCCTAAATATATCAGTGTATATTTTCTAAGAACAGGGTTAGGAACTTAATATTAACACAATACTATTATCTAATCTACAGAACTCATATTTCATCAGTTATCCCAATCATGTTCTTTATAGCCCTTTTTTCTCCTGTGGCTTTTCTCTGTGTTTCTTGACTTTGACATTTTGGAACATACAGGCCAGTGGATTGTCCCTCATTTTGAGTTTTCTGAGGTTTCCTTATGGTTAGATTCCGGAATGTTTCCTTGGTGGTAACACTACAGCATTGCTGTCCTCCACAGTGCACATGATGTCAATTTGTCCCCTTACTGTTGATGTTAACTGTGATCACACAGTTCACCAGGTTTCTCCACTGTAAAGTTCTCTCCTTTACAATGAACAGGTAATCGTGGGGAAATAATTTGAAATTATATATTAAAATCCCATAACGCAACACCCTTTCAACCACTAATTTTTGCACCTGTGTATAGAACTAGGTTTCACTTTTAGCTAGTGTGATTGTTTCCTCTCACTGGAAGAGGTGATCTGCACTGGATAGCCATTTGGTGGTAGTGCTGTAGAAGGAATTTAAACATTGTGGAGTGGCAGTCTTAAATTTTAAGTTCCCTTGCAACTCTGAGACATCGTTTCTGTGAATCTTTCAGGCAGAGAAGCTTTTTATATTCTTCAAAAAATTGATGGTTAGTCCTTTGTTACTTTTCCTATCTTTAATGTTGATGAATATGAAAACAAAAAATACATATATTTTAAAATAGTGAAAAATCTAATGAAATAGTAGAGATTCTATTCTGGGTAAGCTGCTGACTTTGAATAGGATGTGATTGTTTCTGGGCCCACTTGGGAAAAAAAGTGCTGATATACCATGAGAATATTTTCTGGACAAGTGTATGAGTAGAGTAGTGACTTATGAATAAAATGGCAGTGTGGGATGTGGCAGTTAGAATTGAACAGAATTAAACATTCTCTTTTCATTCATTTTTTAAAATATACACTAATTTTTTTTTTTCTCATTTGGAGTGAGTTTCAGGGGTCTGACTGCTGATAGTGGGTGCCTGAGGAGTTTTAGGAGCCTCTGTCACAAGGAGGAAATTGGAGTTGAGGAGAGCAGATAGAAGAAGGGGCTCAGATGAATATATGTGTTTGAACGGGAAGCAGCGTTTGTGTGGGTACATGTTGGATTAGGAGGAGCCTTGGTATAGCTCTGTTGTACTTTGACGTTCTTCACATTATCTTGTAAGAGCATCATTTCTTAACTACTTCTGTGGCGGGTATTAAATACCATCGTTAATGCACATTTGGACTGCTCTTGCTGGTATGATAGTCCTCGTAAGGCAGAAGCTCCCTGACTTGTTGGAGGCCATCACATTTATTTACATGTCGAGGCCAGAAGCCTAGAAGGGATCCCAGACTCCTCCTTCACCTTCCCAGTCCAGATTATTCTCGCTCATAATTGCACCTTAAATTCGTTTCCTATCTCTCTCGAGACTAATGCCTCATCCTTAGTTTGGGCTTTCATTGTTTCTTAACTAGATACAGAAATAGTCTTCTAACTGGTCTTGCCTCTGGACTGACCTCTTGCTGTACCCCCCGCAAAGCTGTCCTAGGGCTCTCGGTTGCCATCAGAATAAAGTTCTATTTCTTAGGGAGCCTTCATGATCTCATCCCTGCCTTTTCTTTTTCTGCCTGCCCTCCTGCTAATTGTTTACTGCCATGTGGGGGGGGGGGTCTGGCAATTTCTGGAATGCCCTGTACCCTGTTACATTGCTGCTGTTTGCTCTGCTGGAAATGCCCTTTCCTCATTCTTTACCTCATTAACTCTTTTTATCTCAAAACTTACACTTGGTGTCACCTCTATTTCATCTATGTCAGGTGCCCTTTTCTGTACCCACAGTGACCTTCTCTTTCCTCCCTCATAGCCCTTATCATACTCTAAGAATATTTTAGTAGTTGATTTTCTTGTCTGTCTCCTTCCAAGGTGCTGAGCATGTTAAGGGTAGGAACCTCTTTTTGTCCTTTTCTGTGTCCCTTGTGCCTGGTATAGCACCTGGTAGTTAGTTACAGGTATTCCTTAACCGACTATGGAAGAGATGCACAGGTAGAAGCCACAGGGCACAGCTCGACAAATGGGGAGCTTCTGAACAGTTAGAGCTTTTCAAAGTTAGAATGTGCTGCTTTAGGAGTGCTGGATTCCTGTATCTAGAAGTGTGAAAACATAGGTTGGGTACACTTGACAAGCTAGTTGACAAACTAGTTGCACACCTGGGATTTTCCAGGTATTTTACTCTGAATAAAGTTGTAAATTTGGAAAAATGAATGGAATTCATAGTTTGAATATATAGCTAAACTTATCTCACAGTTCATCTGTAGCAGGTGTAAGAATTTAGAGGAAAGTGCTAATCATGTTATATCTTAAAATGTTTTATGGTAAAAAACTAA